AACAGAATGCCCCATTCAATCTAGAGAGAACAAATTCAACCTGGAAACCACAATTAGCACTAAACCCAGATAAATTCACACTAAATCATACAAAACCCATCTCACAGAGATCTCAAATCATCAATTAATTTAAATTATGCAAATGACAATAAATAAGGGATGGCGCATGGTGTTCAAATGGGTGGATGGCGGTGGCGCGGGAGAGACTCTTGCAGCCTTTGTTGTTGATTGTCGCCCTCTCCAATGGTAGAACAAAGATTTGGCAGCCTGCAGCTGCAAGTGAATTGTATAATGCCTGAACGCTGTGAAGGCAGAGGTAACGGGGAACTAGTGGTCACCCCTTTAATTATTATTTTTAACAACCAACTAAATGGACGGCGTCGTTTACTTGAGGACTGTTTTAAATTTTTTATTTAATCACTAAAAGAACCGGCGTCGTTTCATTTAGGGATTTTTCAGAAAAGAAGAAAAGTTAGAACACTGCTGCACAGCAGCTGCAGAAACCCAGAACACCATACAGCTCCATGAGCAGCCATTACTTCCGGCGGGATCAGAGGGGCGGAACCACCACTTCTGGGTTTGATTTCAGGCGAGTGGAGGGGCGGTCGTGTCACATCCCGGCCCGGGGCGGATCACTTCCCGGGCCCGCTCCACCACCGTAGCACGATATTGTCCGCTTTGGGCCCCGACCACGCCCTCACGGTTTTGTTTCTGGGAACTCACGAGCAACTTCCCAGTGGGTCACCCATCCTGGGAGTGCTCTGGCCTCCTACTCGCTTAACTTCGGAGTTCCGACGGAACCCGAAGCCAGTGAGCTCCCAAAAGGCCTCGTGCTAGATAGGGATGGGAATATACATTTAAGGATCGCTCCCCTGGGTGATGTGGGATGTTACAATCCACCCCCCTTAGGGGCCCGACGTCCTCGTCGGCACACCACGGCCAGGGTTAGGCTCTGATACCAATTGTCACATCCCGGCCCGGGGCGGATCACTTCCCGGGCCCGCTCCACCACCGTAGCACGATATTGTCCGCTTTGGGCCCCGACCACGCCCTCACGGTTTTGTTTCTGGGAACTCACGAGCAACTTCCCAGTGGGTCACCCATCCTGGGAGTGCTCTGGCCTCCTACTCGCTTAACTTCGGAGTTCCGACGGAACCCGAAGCCAGTGAGCTCCCAAAAGGCCTCGTGCTAGATAGGGATGGGAATATACATTTAAGGATCGCTCCCCTGGGTGATGTGGGATGTTACAGGTCGCCCCTCCTTGCCCCTCTGTAGCTTCGCCACTATTAGGTCCCATAGAGTTTTTCTCGCCTATTTTCTCTCCCCATTTCGATATTTTTTTAGGGTTTTAAGTTAAGTCCTTCCTCACCTTAGCCGGCTGTTTCTTCCCTTGAGTCCTCCCCTGGCTTCCTCTTCTGCTACCTCTCTCCCCGGTCCCAACACCACTCATTTTGTGAAAGTCACCAAATCAAATTACTCAGTTTGGCTTCCGTCAGGTCATATGCCCTTTCTCGTCGACCATGACCTCTGAAAGTTTGTTGATGAAACTCATCTTAACTATATAATTTTTTGTAACCTTCCTCTTTATAAACTTTGTATACATGTTTATTCAAAGAAATTATATTTTTGTCATTTAGTACCACGTTCTAGCGGTATTCCTCAACACTTATAAGTGAGAGGTCTTAGGTTCGATTCTCACCAAATACGAGTTTGAACCACATTATTGCTAGCTCATTATGAGACTAAGCTCACCCTCCCTCTTTCCCTTAATGTAGATAATATCGTTTGTTCGAAAAATAAATCATATTTCTGCACATATGATCATGAGAAATACTCCTATCCTTATTCCTTTTTATTTGGGTTTGATGGGGTTCTAAAGGCCCAAAAAATAAAAAGTAAAGATCATTGTATATTTTTTCATTGATTGAGTTGGTGAAAGTGCCCAAAAAGAAGGTATAAGGGTTTAGGAGTAACTAGGCCTTTGAAGAGCCCATACTCTTGTCGGGTTTTTTGTGAGGGGTTGCAGGTGTCCTCTAGTTAAAACTAGATTAAACATACAATACGAGTTGATCAAAGGTGACCCACTACTGTAACAACGAAAGTGGTACCAAATATTAATAATGCTCTTTAATTTTGATCTATTAGTACCAAAATATCAACGTTATTTCGCCGACGTCGTTTACATTTCCAACTCTTCCACTCTCACTCTCTCTTTCTCTTCATCCCAGATTGTAAATTGATCAGTTCCCCCTCTCAATTTTATTTGTTGAATTTATAAGTTGAAACCCCAAAAGCCAAGAAAAACACTTTCCTCTGGAAATCTCGCCCTCCAATCTCGCTCTCGTTTTCATATTCGAATCCAAAAAACATACACACTCAAAAAAAGGATATACACTTTGATTGGAATGTTGATACGCGCTACTTGTACAAGTGAATCTAAAAAAAAAATTAGTGCATATAAGAAGCAAACATCATGTTAAACACGTATTAAGTATGATATGTTTTTAGAATTTTTAAGTATGATGTGTTTATTAGAAATTTTAATGGACTTGTGTACAAATGCTTCTCATCTTTTAGGATCGTTATGGTATAAGTTAGCAAAAATTTAGGGATTTTTAGTAGTGAAGAATTTAGGATCATTATGGGGCATCATCTCTGATTATAGCAGTGATAGGTCTTGTAATTTGGGTAAAAAATAAAGTTTGGTATAATACACTGAGAAATATATTCTATGGCTTAAATTGTGCCACTTGTCAAAGGATTGGAATGTTAGTTACTCAAATTCGTTAGTGAGCTGGTATTATCTACAAATTAATACATACTAAAAAAAGGGGATATCACAATCTTCAATTCTACGTTGACGTATTAACTTAAATGAGATTGAAACTTTACACTTCTTGGAGCACTATTTTGATTCTCATCAAGGTTGATCACTCTAATGAAGGGCCTTCCTCCTTTGTGTGCATGCTCCATCTCTAAAGACCAAGAACACCCTTCATAGATTTTCGGTTGCACCTAGCCTTGTCAAGAGTAGGTTGCCTACTTACTTCATCTCCAACAAAGATCAAACCGTCGTATTTCAGCCTCAGAACTAACGTAAGGATGGAGGAGGAGCAAGAGTGTTAAACTAGGACACACTCAAAAGAGATGGATGGCTTTGGATGTGTTTAATAAGTGAGACTAAATCTTCTAGTGGAAGTTATTACTCAGCAATCTATGGTGATGTCCTAGTACTCATTATATACATGTTGGTGGCAGTGTTTTCACTCTTCTAGTTTTCTCTCTTGTCGAGACTTTGAGAGAAAACTCACTTTTGTAAACTCTCACAATATCTTCTTAGTTAGAGAGAAAAATCACTCTTGAAAACTCTCACAATTATCTTATTAGTTAGAGAAAATGCATGTGAGGATGAGAGCTTCTATCTCTCATAAGAATGAGTGGAAGACAACTCTCTCTTTTCAAGGATGTTCAAGGATGGGTGGAAGACAAACTCTTACACATGTATAGGAAGCTTGCATGTGTATAAAGCTTCTTGTGGAAGTTCTTACTCACCAATCTTCCTCCACACACCACCACGTCAAGGCGAGTTGCCTTTATCACCTTTTTGTCTATCATTCCCGTCCAAAATGAGTATTGGGTTATTTTGGGCCACTAGTGACCTCCAAGTCAACTTATAATTCGAAATAAGACCAATGTGCTTGGGCCTTATGGACCAGGCACCTCTCGAAACTATTTCGAAGCGCATTTTAGACATATAACCATCATAATAATTAAACAATTTAATTAATTATTTCACAAACTAATTTATCTAATTGATTATATTCATCACATTAATCCCAGAATAGGTTGTGCGATCTTTTAATTCTATTGATGAGGTTGTGAGATGAATTAGACTCTTCTAATTCTTTTACCGGATTTAAAGCTCATCTTTTAATCTACCTCTTTGTGAAGACAACAATGATCGTTTTCGAGTATTTCATAGACCATAAGAGACGCATAGCCGCATGCCATGGTCTCCTAGTCAATGTACTATTCACGAGAGAACCTATTATGTTGTAATTACGATGCAATACAATTATTCTCTAATACAATGCTCTCGCTCACATTGATTAGGGTATTCATGTCAATTGCTTAAGTGATCAACTCATGATCCAACTCAATAGATTTGGAACTTTATTCCAAATCATGATGATATGGTCAAAGACTTCTGAATCATGTTGATGAGCATTCTCCTTTAATTGTTAAGGTTAGAGATTCCTTATTGTACATTCACTTACCTCCCTGATTAGGTATCTTAACCCCAATAATGTCGCAAACACCCTCTCACACTAGACTGTCTTTAATATAATCTATGATTAAGGACCTAAAAACAAGACAAATGTGATGCCTCAAGTTCAAGGACCAATTTGCATTATTGCAACAATCGATTTCTTATTGACATGAACATGTATCTGGTATACATACATAAGATCTTGAGGCGATCACATTTAGTGAACTTAATCTTTATTAAGCACTTACACATTTGTCTTAGCGACTTCCTCTAATGGCTTGAGAATAGTCATGCATCTCGTTCTACAATACTATAGACATAGTGTGTACTAGCCTTATCGGATTATAAGATGTCCACCGAAATAGTCTAACGACTAGGAACATATGAAGATGGTCTCTTTAACATTATCTCATAATTAATTTACCTCTTACATGTGTTATCCATGGACTCACTAATGAGATTACATTGATAATCTACCTATAGTGGTCTTGCCCAATAATTAGATTATGGACTAATCCCTGTATTCACTAAAGATTTGATTTTAGGGCATATATCCAACAGTCAACTGCACCTATAAATAGTCTTCATGTAGTTACTTCATTAAGAAAGAAATACCAGATTAACGTACTCTAAAATCCTTGTTAGTTTTCTTCTCTCTCTAGATTTACATACATGTGGTACCAAATTTTTTAGAAATTTAATTAGGCGCAAATATCAAAACGTCCATAGGTTTCTTGTGAATTCAAAAGTGATAAACTTGATTAAAAGAAGAATAGTACTTGCATTATCCCGTTTGGAGATAAGCTCACTCTCCCACTTGCAAATAACATATTTTCACTGTAGAAATTTCATAATCGAAACAACTTAATTTCTTAATCTTCATAGTGAAGATCATCCATACAAATTAGCTTTGATTTGGTCCCAAAAGGTCTTATTTTTAAAGCTAGGCATGCCCTTTTCAAAACCTCAGAAGTACCTTTCCTCTAAAAATGCCATCTTGATCGTCAAAATGCCCAAAAACATCCAAAAAGGTCAATTTGGGAAAGCCACGCAATCAGCACTTATTTCTTCACCATGGTCAAATGGCATGAAGTAAAAATCTGAAATTTTGACACAATCATCTTGAAAGACTCATGAACCCACTCCAATTGGAATTACTTCAAAATTTCTTTGTTTGATCACTATTTACTCAAAATGGATTTGCATGTCCTACAAATAAAATAAAGCACAAAATGTAACTAAGAGTAGAGTAAAATATGGATTAATATCGTCTCATCATGTGGAAAAAGTAAAAGAAGGAAACGACATTTAATCAATAAAAGTGATTGGAAAATTAATAATTTACAGGTTAACAGGTTATTTGTTGCTAGTATATACATGGATTCGAAGAAAACGACAAGAAAACAATTAAGCCTCACTACAATTTAGTTCACACATGTGCAAGTTGCTATTCAAAGGCCACTTTGTACATTATTTGCACATTGTACACGATTTATTGATCCTTTATATGTACGATAACCGTGAAGAAGAAGATAATAATATCATTATTAACTTTATGGTTTTAAAAGGCACTAGCCGATGGTCGGATGAAGAAGAAGATAATAATATCATTATTAACTTTATGGTTTTAAACGCGAAAAACAAAGCAATTTCTCTTTCTACTCATTTCAATCCCTCCCCGTCTGCTCGTGAACTCAGTATAGAATAACCTAGAAGCTCTTCTCTCTTTCCATGGAAACCTCTAGTAAGTAGCATGGCTAATTTTTCCGATGCGGACCCGAGAATAGAAGCAGATCAATTAACATGGTGATTAAGAAAAACCCATGTCTTAATTATGGATTTCAGCTTCTGGGTTCGAACAATTGGGTCTCTCGTTTATGGTTACTCTTTGTTCTGTTTTTGGGTTTCAGGCGAAAGAGAAAAAGAAAGTTGTTTGGACCATAAATAAAAATAAGACCTGCTACTCGACTAATCTATTTGTATTTACATAAAGTCGCAAGACTACGGTCTATTAACTCCGAAATCCAATTTAGGATCGTATCCTGTGCTTTAGACAACCTCCTTAAATCACTCCAACCCATCCGATGGCTCAGACAGGTTCCTCCTGGAAGTGCTTATGCTACATGGACGACCAAACTCGAGAATATCTTGCTTCTTTAAAGACCAATGGACATGTCATCCAACATGCTGATGTCGTCGAAGTGAACTTGCGAAACGCCACAAGACACATCTGAATGCAGTGCTAACCAAGAATTATAGTCACTGCAACGCTAAATACTCTAGCTCAGCGATAAGATCTAGGTTGCTCAATCTCCATTGTCTATAAATAGAGTCAGAGGCCTAGAAGCTTTGGACCTTCGTCAAATTCAGTCTATACGATTATATATACCTTGAGTGATTTTTTCAATCAACCCAACTAGTTTTAAAACAAACATAATTGCTCACCATCTATAGTCTCAAAGCCTTCACTTGAAGCAAACATTGTCTATGATTCCTGAGATTTAAAACCTTTATAGATCTACCACCCTATGCTATGATTTGGTTGACGCGCAATTCTAACCACCCTGATTTTATCTGCCACCATGTAGATTCCTCTAGCATTATCTCACTCTACACGGCCTGAATCTAGCTAGAATTTTACTACTTTATTTACATTTCTAGTCAATTTACATTTTATGTCATGTAGCTCGGCCCATTGGCCTAGAGTTTACTTTTATAAACGTTTGTAATCTTAATTTCATCATGAAATGAATTACATTATGTTTCTCGCATTAGTTTCCATTTCTCTTTTATTTATGTTTTAGCCAAAAACACACAAAGTTACACTGAAATTTAAGTTCTCATTCACTCGAGCTGCACAAACTTAACCGAACCAGTGTCCCACTCAATGCACAAACATTTAGTTAAAAAGTCAGATTTGTGTGCAACTTAAACACACACTCAAACACAAACATTGAATGTTAGTAGCCTCCAACAGTGGCATTGCATATTCTCTCTTTCTCTCGAGCCATCCCTTGATAGTGAAACCAAAAGCAACACTTGGAGCAAATACATGTTGAACCCACTAAAGGAGAGAGTGTTAATCCAGCTTGCCAAGCTCCGCCTCTTCCTGCCTAACTCCACCTAACCCCTGCCTAAGCAGCCGCCTAATAAACTTATTTAGTGACCAATTAAAGATTAATCGCAGTGACTAACCACCACCTAAACTACCTTTTAGAACACTACATAATTTAGCTTATTGCGCAGAATATATTTCTTCATGTATCCTACAAGGAATTGTATAAAATCTTAGATTTGTAGTTCATTAAAAATGAGTTGTGCTTTGAAATTATATAAGTTAAATAATCTACTAAAAAAAAAGCCTTAGCTAGCGGCCTTTACATAATTAGCCATGCTTTATCTTTTGACCATTTGTAAGGATCAGGATCCTCTCCTAAGCTTAAGAGGCTGAGTCTCCTGAGCAAATCACATGGCCCGTTGGATCAAAATCTAACAACTACAATTATTATAACTTTTACAGAGATCCCCTGTTTGTAGCTGTTGGATTTTGATTCAACGGCCAATGTGATTTGCTCAGGAGGCTTAGCCTCCTAAGCTCAGGAGAGGATCCTGATCCCATTTGTAAGCTTGACTCTGCACACACGCATCACATTTATATAAATATAAAAATATACATTTGTACATAAGGGACCAATGAATGATGTTTATATGTCCTAGTATTCGGAAAAGGATCGTCGCCGAATCTTTTTCCTGGGGATCCTAGGGATCCAGTGATCGTGATTATTCATCGTACATCGTGCCATCAGAAATCATTTCAAAATTTAAAATTTAAAATTAAATATAAATAGTACTTAATAAAAACTAACCGCACGATGTACGATGAATGGTCACGATCGTGAGATCTCTAGGATCCCCAGGAAAATGATCGAGCAGGGACCTTTTCCCCTAGTATTCTACAAAGTGCTTGACCAAAAGACAACATTGTACAAAGTGTGACCAATGAGTAATGTTTATGTGTCCTAATGTTGTACAAAGTGCTTGATCGAAAGAAAAAAATTTGTTCAAAGTGGCCCTTTTAGTAGCTAACAAGCAAGTGTACCTGCGCGTTGCTGCGGGGTTTAGAAAATTGTTGAAAATGTAGAAAGTGTAGAAAATATGTGTTAAGGAGTAGTGTTTAATATGTACATTTATTACATTCGTGTGTTCCGATGTTCTTTACAAATATATATATATATATATATATATATATATATATATATATATATATATATATATATATATATATATATATATATATATATATATATATATGAAAATAAATATTCATGATAGTGCATTTAAAATAATTAATTAATTACCAAAAGCAATACTACACAATGAGTGAGGATTATATCCCTCTAAAATAACTGACTCACTAACTGCATCTTGACACTACACTGAGATGATTTAATCTTGTAACACATGCTACCATCTTCATATGACATTGATTGAACCTCACAAACATATAGACAAATCATGTGACACTTGGAATCACCTTAACTCTATATACTCTAACAAATTGAACCCGAAAACAGAAGGCCTTGAATTTCAGTGAAGTATCAATAAGTTGTCCACAAAGTAGGGTGATCAAAGAACATATATAAAAGCATGCTAAAAATTGATATACCTCCAAATAGTTCTTCTCGTGGAAATAATTGATTTCAAGTGCCTGATCAATGGGGCATGCTTTCTTCCCACACATTGCTTAACAATCCATGAACCCTGAGGAGAGAAGAATCAGTTAGAAGTTAAACCTTGAATTTTATATAAATCATCCCCCTTGATAAAACTCTGTAGCAAGGGTGTATCTTCGACTGGAGAATTCATCATATAGTATAGTGCCAAACCATAAGTAGTTGAACTTGGACCTAGTTCACATAGATAATTTGGTAATTAATGGCAGGCAACAGGGAAAAACTGCAAAGAATAATAGAAAAACCCATGAAAGACAGATTTACCTGAATGTTCACAATGAAGAAGAATTATCTCCTACCATGTCCTGCATATTTCAACAAAAGGATTGCAAAAATTATGTAAAATGAAAATTACGGCCATTTTTGTGCCAATTCAATGTTTTTTGGTAGCCCCATATGTAAAGTGGTTAGGAAAAATCTTAGTAATACAACAACAACAACAACAACAACAAAGCTTTTTCCCACTAAGTGGGGTCGGCTATATGAATCCTAGAACGCCATTGCGATCGGTTTTGTGTCATGTCCTCCGTTTGATCCAAGTACTCAAGTCTTTTCTTAGGGTCTCTTCCAAAGTTTTCCTAGGTCTTCCTCTACCCCTTCGGCCCTGAACCTCTGTCCCGTAGTCACATTTTCGAACCGGAGCGTCAGTAGGCCTTCTTTGCACATGTCCAAACCACCGGAACCGATTTTCTCTCATATTTCCTTCAATTTTGGCTACTCCTACTTTACCTCGGATATCCTCATTCCCAATCTTATCCTTTCTCGTGTGCCCATACATCCCACGAAGCATCCTCATCTCCGCTACACCCATTTTGTGTACATGTTGATGCTTCACCGCCCAACATTCTGTGCCATACAACATCGCTGGCTTTATTGCCTTCCTATAAAAAATTTCCCTTGAGCTTCAGTGGCCTACGACGGTCACACAACACGCCGGATGCACTCTTACACTTCATCCATCCAGCTTGTATTCTATGGTTGAGATCTCCATCTAATTCTCCGTTCTCTTGCAAGATAGATCCTAGGTAGCGAAAACGGTCACTTTTTGTGATCTTCACTAGATTGCTCCGGTCATTAGTGTGGATAAGTATATAGATGGATAGAGATAGGAAAGCAAACACAAGATGTACGTGGTTCACCCAGATTGGCTACATCCACGGAATAGAGGAGTTCTCATTAATTGTGAAGGGTTTACACAAGTACATAGGTTCAAGCTCTCCTTTAGTGAGTACAAGTGAATGATTTAGTACAAATGACATTAGGAAATATTGTGGGAGAATGATCTCGTAACCACGAAACTTCTAAGTACCGGAGTGTGGTATCGTCTTGACTTGCCTTATCTGTCTCATAGGTAGATGTGGCATCTTCTCTGGAAGTACTCTTCCTCCATCCAGGGGTGGTATCTGTAACTGGTGGAGATGCACAAGGTAATGTATCAATTTCACTTGAAGCTTACTTGTACTTTCAGGTTTGGTCAAGCGCGATACAAACCATGTAGTAGGAGTCCCCCAAGTCGTTGAGCTAGGGGATCTGCTGAAAGAGGTGACAGACAAGGTAAGCAATCAGAGCTCCGGCTGATTGTTCACATTCTCCCTATCTTGCAGGCAGCATGAAGGATAAAGAGAAGAAAAATGAGAAGAGATGATATGGGATACTTTTGCTTTTGAAGAAGTAACTTTCCACAGGCTTATTCTTGAACTGGGCTGGAGGGTATTCTGGTTTCCTCCAGAGTATAAGGCCGACTGAAGAATTTGAGGGTCAAAACAAGTCCATCAAATCTAGAGTACGTTCGACCCTGCTGATATGGGATACTTTTGCTTTTGACAGAGTAGTGGATGTATCGGCACGTGTGCTGTTACGCTTGTCTCCACATGCTTCCTTGTATCCTTCTCACTTGCCCTATATGTTCCTCAGGCAGATGCGGTATTTTCCCTGGAAGCATAAGATGTTGAAGATGAGTACTCGAGAGCAATGCCAGGTAAGTAATCAGGTAAGGGGTTCCAGGCAGTCAGTTCCTGGCTGGAAGCTTGATTCCAAGTGCTGACTGATTGCTTTCTTTCTCATTGTCTTGCAGGTAAGAACAATGCCAAAGGAAAAGACAGGGAAAAAGCATGATATGGGATACTCTTGCTTTTAACCCTGATGATATGAGATATTCTTGCTCTAGTATAGCTTGTTTACAGAGGTATTATCGGGGGGAAAGAAAGTTGAATATTTCGAAAGGCTTCGTTGGGAGTGCCCTCTCAGATAAGAGGAAGGGTTGAGCATTTTTGCAGGTCTGCCTGTCCGTTAGGGATGGAGGTCGACATATATAGGAGTCTCCCTAACATCAAGTAATAATGCTATTCCTTTACCCTGCTTGGTCATAGCACGGTAGTGGGAGCTGCCAGCTTCACATGTTTTAACTCTGTCAGAGCACTTTGAAAAATTGGTCTATGGTATCTGGAAAGCTGATGTTGCGTGTGAAGATTATAGACAAGCTTTATCCAAGGAGATCCAGCTCTTGAAGTTGGGAAAGTGGTGCCTCTTCGGTTTTCGAACAAGCACTCCTGTCGGGGATCTGGCTCTCGAGATTTGGAGAACGATGCCTCTTCGATTTTTGAGAAAGCAATCCTGCTGGGGGTCTGGCTCTCGAGATTCGGGGAGCGGTGTCTCTTCGATTTTTGAGAAAGTAATCATGTTGGAAGTCTGGCTCTCGAGATTCGGAGGGCGGTGCCTCTTCGATATTTGAGCAAGCAATCTTGTTGGGAGTGTTTTCTCGAATGTGAGTAAAGGTTGGGCATGTTTGCTAGTCTACCTTGCCACGAAGCACAGAGGTTGACACATAGGGACTTTCCAATTATCCAGCAGTGGTACTGTTCCTTTACCCTCTCTTCGATTTTTGAGAAAGTAATCATGTTGGGAATCTGGCTCTCGAGATTCAGAGGGCGGTGCCTCTTCGATTTTGGAGCAAGCAATCTTGTTGGGAGTGTTTTCTCGAATGTGAGTAAAGGTTGGGCATGTTTGCTAGTCTACCTTGCCACGAAGCACAGAGGTTGACACACAGGGACTTTTCAATTATCCAGTAGTGGTACTGTTCCTTTACCCTCTCTTCGATTTTTGAGAAAGTAATCATGTTGGGAGTCTGGCTCTCGAGATTCGGAGGGCGGTGCCTCTTCGATTTTTGAGCAAGCAATCTTGTTGGGAGTGTTTTCTCGAATGTGAGTAAAGGTTGGGCATGTTTGCTAGTCTACCTTGCCACGAAGCACAGAGGTTGACACACAGGGACTTTCCAATTATCCAGCAGTGGTACTGTTCCTTTACCCTCTCTTCGATTTTTGAGAAAGTAATCATGTTGGGAGTCTGGCTCTCGAGATTCAGAGGGCGGTGCCTCTTTGATTTTGGAGCAAGCAATCTTGTTGGGAGTGTTTTCTCGAATGTGAGTAAAGGTTGGGCATGTTTGCTAGTCTACCTTGCCACGAAGCACAGAGGTTGACACACCGGGACTTTCCAATTATCCAGCAGTGGTACTGTTCCTTTACCCTTGTGGGTAATAATATGGTAGCTAGACCTTCAAAATTTATGTGTCTAAACTTTGTTAGTGTTGTTTCTTTGCTATTTTTTTACCCTTCTTGGTCAGAGCGATGTAGTGGGAGCTGCAAGCTTCACGTGTCTCAACTTTGTCAGAGAACTTTGGCAAAGTTATCTGTGGTACCCATGAGCTACTGTTGCGTGTGGGAAGTGGGTGATTGAACAGTACAATTCATGTGCTTTCTACTTTGCCAGAAATCTTCGACAGAATGCCCATAGTTTCCGCAAAGCTGAGTGTGCGTGTGACAGGTGCTGACAAGGCTGGAAAAGTAGGTGCCTCTTCGATTTCTGGGATCGGCCCTCGTGGTCTCTGAGCAGCCCAGCTTTTGAGAAAGCAAGCCTCTTCGATTTCTGAGATCGGTCTTCATGGTCTTTGAGCAGCCCAGCTTTTGAGAAAGCAAACGCCTCTTCGATTTCTGAGATCGACCCTCGTGGTCTCTGAGCAGCCCAGCTTTTGAGAAAGCAAACGCCTCTTCGATTTCTGAGCAGGCGCCTCTTCGATTTCTGAAGCTTCGTCGAGTGCAGATTTTTATAGGGGCTGACATTAAGTTCCAAAGCACACTTGAATATCCACCAGTAGAAGCTCCATTCTTGCACTTCTAAGATCTTGATTTGTCCGACCTCTTCTCTCTTCAACACCTTTGAAAATGTCTGGCCCCTCCAACCGTCGTTTTGACTTGAACCTTGTTGAAGAGGCAGCCCCGCCTTCTCCAGACAACATATGGCGCCCATCCTTCGTCTCCCCTACTGGTCCTCTTACCGTTGGGGATTCCGTGATGAAGAATGATATGACCGCTGCGGTAATGGCCAGGAACCTTCTCACTCCCAAAGATAACAGACTACTTTCCAAACGGTCTGATGAGTTGGCTGTTAAGGATTCTCTGGCTCTCAGTGTTCAGTGTGCAGGTTCTGTGTCTAATATGGCCCAACGCCTATTTGCTCGAACCCGCCAAGTTGAATCATTGGCGGCTGAAGTGATGAGTCTCAAACAGGAGATTAGAGGGCTCAAGCATGAGAATAAACAGTTGCACCGGCTCGCACATGACTATGCTACAAACATGAAGAGGAAGCTTGACGAGATGAATGAGTCTGATGGTCAGGTTTTACTTGATCATTAGAGATTTGTGGGTTTGTTCCAAAGGTATTTATTGCCTTCGTCTTCTGGGGCTGTACCGCGTAATGAAGCTCCAAATGATCAACCTCTGATGCCTCCTTCTAGGGTTCTGTCCAGTACTGAGGCTCCGAATGATCCCCCTCCGGTGCCTTCTCTTTCTGGGGCTCTACCGACTGCTGAGACTTCTCCTAAGCAACCTTTGTGAAGGCTCCCTCTTATTTGTTTATTTTGACTCAAGTATATGTACATATTTGTAACTTATCGGGGATATCAATAAATAAGCTTTCCTTCATTTCAACGTGAGAAAAAAAAAATCAAATCAAATCCTCAAATAATGACCTGAACGATTCTACCTTCAAGGCCTCCAATATCATCTTCACAACGCAAAAACTTAAATTATACACAAAATTAAGGTGCTTTTAGGGACATTCATAACCTCAAGCTATACTCAGTAACATAGAACCAGTTAATTCATAATTTCAAGCCACATCACCCAAAAAAGGACTCTACTTCATGCTATATTACTTTATGCACAACAAATACCTCAACAAAACAGATAGGCATGTTATACTAAAAGCAATTAATTGAAACCATTGAACAAAAAAGAACAAAGCGGATAAAAACTTAGAATTTGAAAAAGTATTTGTTATGACATGAGCCATCAATTCGCAAACTTTTTATATGTTTATCACGTCATAGGCATACAACAGACTGAAAGAAGGAAATTTGCATGTTATCTGTAAAAAGTATTTATAGATTTAGTGTGTAACTCAACATATAAGTAGATATCGGGGTTCAATCCGTAGTTCTGCGTCAGATCCTGTTCCAATGAAGTAAGAGATCCCCTTCACAGTTTATAATCTTCACATTATATTTGTGGGTAACAGATATATTATCTCTTTATAGAGCACCAATAGTTCAACAAATTAGCAGATATATAATGTCTACTGCCTATTATGGTTAAGCTTTGTTCGAAATCATTGTAATATTAATTTGAACAAATATATTCCAATGATACAAATAGGGAATCTATAAACCATTATTGTACCTATTTGTAGAAAAATGCAGTAAACTTTACTTGAACTGAAATATTAGTACTAAACAGACACACTTCACTCGCACTGGTATATTAAGATTTTGTAAAAACGCTTATTGCTCATATCCCAGCCGCTTTCTCTTTCTGCACAAAGCATACACAACTTTGATTGAGACCTGCTGATGAACTATATGCACAAAAGGGTACTCTAATAAAAGAGTAATGAAAAACATATATATGTTGGATTGATTCTGGGAATATGATCAAAGATCGAAATATGAACTAACTATCAAGCAAGAGAACAACTTTATGAACTGCTTTAATGTATGAGCCAAAAGCACTTTCTGGTTTCAGCATGAACTGGAAGTTGCAATCTATGAAGCGTTTGATACTCATACTCAAGGGTCCAAAATAAATTAACTATAAAATACGGATCTTTTGGGGGTAATTTTTCCAACATGAAAACTTTGGGCTTCTGATTGAAAATGATCAAAGCTATTTAAAGTTAAAGAGATTATCATAATTCATTCAAATCTTTTAGTCCACAATCAAAGGAGCAAACCCTTCATAGATTTTTAGGCAACAATCAATAATAAATAAAATTAAGAGGAAACCAAATAAAAAAATTGGAGACTTTTAAGAACCAACATAATCTACAGAGAGTTTAAAGAGAGAGAGGAGAGGGAGGGGGCTTAACATCCTTCATAGCAACCAAAACTTTCAGATAAAATCACACCAAAAAACCCACAAATTTAACGAAAATTTGTGCACAACCCAGAAATTTGAAGGAAAAAAATACGAAAAATTAAATAAAACCCATTTATATTAAATCAAATATTTGAAGCAGAATCTTTACATACAATAGATGAAGAAGGTACCTGAGGTGCTGAGGAATAGTTTGAGACCAACATCGACGCCGACCTTTGCCGGAATCGTCGCATAAACGTAGGAAAACTCTGAGGAGTATTAAAAAAATCCTCATCGAAACCGTAACGAATCGAGGCATGCAACGAGTGTTTCTTGTTCCTGAGATGAAAGGGAGACGATTGGTAAAACGTTGAGGTCCGATTCACCGGCTTTCAAACAGAAATAGCCCGTCGTCGTCAGCTGAGTCACGGAGGGAAGAGATATGGAGACTTGTAATAACACAAACTAAGAGCAACTCCAACCTTCGTTTTTGGACGGGGGACGGGCTGCAGGAAGGGGCCTTCCGGACTCGATGGGGATCTTTTTCGTTCAAATTGAAGTGAGCAGGAATGAACAGATGAAGGAGGAAACTGAGTTTTCTTGCTGTGCTGTCGAAGAGAGTGAACGACAGCTCAATAACTCAACACCGAATGGCAGACATGTAATAACACAAACTAAGTAAGGGTAAAATCGGAACTACACTGTTCTTATGAACGGAACAGTGATTCAGTTGTTTTTGGGTTTTAGTGCTACTAATTTCTGGATGTATATATATGTGCGCGCGCGCATGTTGCACGTGTGAACTTTAATGGTCGTGAGGGTTAAATGCTTCCTCGTACGATAGAGACCAAAAATATTTCTGATGTCTAATTTCACCTGACCTAAAATAAGAGAAGTACCTCTGCCATTTAGAAACACTCAAATCATTCAACAATTACATGTGTGAAAGCCATTACAACATCTTTAAGAGAGAGCCAACAAGCTTTATCATCAAAAGTGTAATTTGTTACCTATGTGACAGTTATATCCTGTCGTCAAAATTTGTCACTCTAACTCACAACCAACTCATCAAATGTTTATATTCACATTAAAATAAGAAAATTGTTATTAGCACTCCAAAAATCTCATTCTACACTCCTAACAAGTGTATTTTTTCTTTCTAATTATAGAAAGTTTGGAGTGCTAAATGAGATTTTTAGAGTGCCAATAATAATTCCCTAAAATAATAGTATTTTACGTTTTATTTTATCTAGTGAGTGTTGAAGTTCCTTTCGAGTGCAAATATAAGGATAATATAGTGGCACAAGTAATGGTGTCGAACCACAGGGACTAATAAACAACTTAGTTAAACCTTTGACTCTTACATATTAGCATCAGTTAATGACTTCTATGATTTAAAATTGGGGGGTTTAAGTAATTTTGGAAAAGAAATAAAGACAGAAAGAAAAGGGAAAAATTATAACTATTTAAAAATAGGGAATTATTATTAGCACTCCAAAAATCTCATTCTACACTCCAAACTTTCTATATTAGGAAAGAAAAATACACTTGTGAGGAGTATAGAATAAGATTTTTGGAATGTCAATAACACTTCCCTAAAATAAACCTAAGACATGAAATAGGTTAGAAATGTTTTGAGGACATATATGTGACACAAATGAGCTAAGGTCTTCCCCTAAACATTCATAAATCAATGAGATGATCTTTTAACTTATCCATTTCAAATGCACAACTAAGATGTTCACATATCTAGCATGGCATATAACTAGATTGTATGAATCCTCACTTTCTTTGCATGTGAGATGCATGGCATATACATCAAACTTATATTTGTAGGTGTAACCTAGCATGACATATACTCAAATGTAGCACCTATAAACTCATTAAGAATGAAGAGGATTATGAACATCACATGAATCCTAGAACATGGCATTTATCCTAGATTTTCATGGAATCAGTTTACATGATTAGTTCTGAACATAACCACATGTTGCTAATGAATGAAATAAGATATGACAATCATCTTTATCATTCTCAATAGAAAGCAAACATAAACAAGGTAGCTAAGCTTGAAAATATGTGCTTGAAACAATTGAGACAGAAAACTGATTCTAGCTTGCAAATGAAATAATCATGTCTAGGGCTTCAAAACAACCCTAAGTATCCACAACCTAAATTAAAAACATAAAAATTTAGGAAAGCTAGAACCTAGAAACGGCTCAAGGTGGAGGACTTCTTCTCCTCTTTGATGTTGTGTATCTCCTCCATTTCCTCTTTTAGATTCTGTGTATTTTTTTCCTATTAAAAGGCTTAGGAGTTTTCTAACATCTGACATATTTACATCTTTAAATTGACTCTCATTTATAGCTTATTACAATAAGCTTTTAGTAGGAGTAACAGGAAATTAGTTGTTTTCAGAATTTGTAACTGAACAGCTCCTCTTTATTCTGTCATAATTTCTAGTCGAAACCTCCAAATCACAAGCTGTAAAGATCATCAGAAAGAAGACTTCTAGGGCTTTCCAACCATATATAGCCCATTTTCTAATTCGTTTTGAGTACTTCGAGGAAAAACTCGCAAGTTGGCTGTTCTGCAAGGGCCTTTTCTGACGGATCTTAGGCCACTTGTGGGCTATGGTCTGGTCTTGAGCGAGTTAAGCTTCAAACTATCCATTCTAGGCTCTTAAAATATTCAAAATAAGATGATTTCTTGAAACCCTTACTTTCATCCTGAAATACAATACAAACAACAAAATACTTTGTGATGCATAGAGATTTTAAGTAAAAAACCTAAGTAAAAGATGGCGTAAAAGTATAAGTTTATGCACTCAATAGTGAGCCAAATTTTATTTCTGAATTTTGTTATCACATTGCTACCTTCACTAGAGATGTTTAAGATGAACTTTTGCATATACAACGGAGAGAAAAACAAGAAATAATTGGTTTCCTTTAGTTGTGGGTCATGAAATGACAACAAATAAGGTGGGATTTATGGCATAGAGGTGCTGCACATGGCTGAGGTGGGCTCTGGATATGATACCTACATGCCAGTATGCATCCCACCCTTTGTTAGGGAGAACCTGTATAAGGGCAGTCTTATACAAGATTTCTACACCAATGAAGGTTGTCCCTTTTGCTTTGTTATAGTGGGGAAGCAACAATGGCGGGACTCCGAGAAGTCTTTTCTAACAAGAAAAATGACTGCTTTTGAATTCGATTCAATAGAGAATGGGACAATAGTAGTCCAAAGAGGTTTCAAAAATTCAATATTGGCTGTAACCTAGTCGTGACTCGATCACAATATGTAGGATTATATAGTTTTTTCTTTAGTTACGTAAGAAGTTCCGTAGTATCATCGGCTATAATAATTTCACAGTACAACATTTAAACGATTTTAAACATGCACAAGATGGGGAACTTTTTGTCTGTTTGATATTACCAACAACAATTTTGTAGGCACTGTAACGGTTTGATTAATATGTGTAAATATTTATCAATTAGGCAACTTTGATTAGAACCTTAAAAGATTATCATGAACCAGTGTAGTTTATTTATTTTTACATTTGTAAGAGAGAGCGCATATTGGTGAATTTTATTTGAACTGCTAATAACAACTTCTTTTTATTAAATTTTTTAATGTTTAAAATGTATGGTTGAAACAATTATAAATGTCAATTGAAATTGGAAGCTTAATCATGCAACAATTAAGGGTAAATTACATAAAACTACCTCAACTATTGGGCCAGTCACAGCCCCATCTTTAAAAAATATCAATGCCATACCTCATCTTACGAATTTGTTATAATTTCATACATTCCGTTAGTTTGTCTATCAATTCTTTTGTTAAATAGTGACGTGACTTGAGATGGGGCCCACTCCCTATTAAAATATTAAAAAATAATAATTTACCTTTAGAAAAAAAAAAAAAAAAAACCCATCTTCCCCAACCTCTTCCCCTTCCCTGCAACCCAAATCCAAAACCACCACAAACCCAGATCCCACCCACACCAACATCTCCCTCCCAAACCCACCTCCTCATTCTTTGTCACTGCCATGTCATCTTCATCTTCATCCTATCTAACCCCCAAGCCTTCAAGCTTGGCCACCGAGCATTTGCATCGCGCTCGAAACAGCAGCACAACACGGCCATTCATCAGTGCCATCCGCCTAAGCTCAGTACTGAGGCACTCGTAATTACGAGTGCCCTCGCTGACGTAGCAGAACTCGACTACCAATAGCATGGCGGCAAAAAAGGTGACGAAGCCTGTTTGTACCATACTTGACCAATCCCGAAACTACTGAGCACTGGTCAACGTTATACCGTTAAGGACCCAAAAGAGTTTCCCTCCAACCAAGAGGCCAATCACAGCGTGACACGTGTCGACATCAGAAGCCAATCATAGCACGACACGTGTCAACATCAGAAGCCAATCACAACACGACACGTGTCAATGTCAGAATGAAACTAGAAACTCTCTTCTATAAATAGAGATCATTCTCTCACAATATTTCCTAATGTCATTTGTACTAAATCATTCACTAGTACTCACTAAAGGAGAGCTTGAACCTATGTACTTGTGTAAACCCTTCACAATTTATGAGAACTCCTCTACTTCGTGGACGTAGCCAATCTGGGTGAACCGCGTACATCTTGTGTTTGCTTCCCTGTCTCTATCCATTTACATACTTATTCACACTAGTGATCGGATCAATCTAGCGAAGGTCATAAACTTAACACTTTCTATTGTACCAAAGTCCTTACCGATTTTGTGCATCAACATTTGGCGCCGTCTGTGGGAAACGACATTTATTCCCACTCTCTTCAGCTTTGTCAATGTGGTTTTCACCATTCGTACACTCTCTTTTGACCAGGCATCCCTCTCCAACATGGGGAGCGAAGGAAGCCACAACACACAGAATGACACCCTTCTTGCACCTAGTGCGAAGCAACGAAAGAAGGAAGGAAAGAAGGTTGCTCTTCAAGCTAAAGTCGATGAGCTAGAAGCTTAGAACAATAAGATAGCAATGAAGAATGAGGTCCTCCAGGAGCAGTATGAGAAGCTCTTTGAGACGTTCCACAAAACTAGGCGTACTCAAACACGCGAGCTCGTTGCCCCTATGGACATCAACCATCATCTGGGTGCCCACCAACACGGAGGGTCACCTCCCTTCGACATGGGTATCCTTGATGAGGAGCGAGCTAATCATCAAAACATTGATCAACATAAGACTTCTCTCAAACTAGATGCTTCGACCCGAAGTAGGAGAAGTAGATGAAGACATCTCCTTGCAGAAGGGTTGGAAGGATCGAAAGTCGTTTATCATGAATGCCGAGGCTTCCTAAAGCAACGTCGAGAGAATCCCCTCCACTTATGCTCGAAGATCAATGACCCAAGGGTTTCTAAAAGACTCAGTCCCATTCCACGACCTATGCCAGCTGCCAATGTAGAGAAGGAACGACAGGTCCCAGAAGAACATGAAGGTACAGGGGACTCTAAGGTATTCCGACAGACTCGTCTTAGAAGTCAGTACGGCGAGTCCAAGGAAAAACTACATGCTCTTACTCAAACTTTCCTATTTCCAAGAGGCGATGGAAACTTACGAAAGAAAATTCCAGTGGTACATGACTCCACTCAGGACTCCATTGTCCTACAGCTCCTTGAGGAAGTAAATAAGTTGAAAGCCGAACTTCAGGCTAAGATACCTAACTGGAACCAACCCAGGCATGACCCTCTCACAAGAATGA